ACCAGTGTTGCCAGTGCTCCCTCTGCTACTAGTGCTCCCTCTGAGCTACCAGGCTCTCTCTCCTACTAGTGCTCCCTCTGCTACCAGTGTTACCAGTGCTCCCTCTGCGACCAGTGTTACCAGTGCTCCCTCATGCTACCAGTGTCTCCCTCATGCTACCAGCTCTGTACTAGTGCTCCCTCTGAGCTACCAGTGTTCACCAGTCTCCTCAGCTACCCTCTGTACCAGTGCTCCCTCAGCTACCGTGTGCATGCTCCTCTGCTACCAGTGTTACCAGTGCTCCCTCAGCTACCAGTGCTCCCTCAGTTACCAGTGCTCCCTCTGCTACCAGTGTTACCAGTGCTCCCTCAGCTACCAGTGCTCCCTCAGCTACCAGTGTACCAGTGCTCCCTCTGCTACCAGAGTTACCAGTGCTCCCTCTGCTACTAGTGTTACCAGTGCTCCCTCTGCTACCAGAGTTACCAGTGCTCCCTCAGCTACCAGTGTTACCAGTGCTCCCTCTGCTACACCAGTGCTCCCTCTGTACTACCAGTGCTCCCTCAGCTACCAGTGTTACCAGTGCTCCTTCTACCATGCTCCCTCTGTTACCAGTGCTCCTCAGCTACCAGTGTTACCAGTGCTTCCCTCTCTACTAGTGTTACCAGTCTCCCTCAGCACCAGTGTTACCAGTGCTCCCTCTGCTACCAGTGCTCCCTCAAGCTACCAGTGCTCCCTCTGCTAACAGTGCTCCCTCTGCTACCATGCTCCTCAGCTACCAGTGTTTACCAGTGCTCCCTCACTACCAGATTACCAGTGCTCCGCTGCTACTAGTGTTACCAGTGCTCCCTCAGCTACTCAGTGCTCCCGTCAGCTACCAGTGCCTCCTCTGCTACCAGTGCTCCCTCGCTACTAGTGCTCCTCAGCTCCCTCTGCTACTAGTGCTCCCTCTGCTACTGGGCTGCTACCTATGGTGCCTCATTAGGACTAGTGGGCTTATGGGCGCTTAAGACTGATTGGATCCACCTTACTTGTGCCATCTACCGGAATAGGCGGGACCACTCCCCAGCAAGGAGTCCGGCATAAAGTATACTGTTACAGCGTAGTGTCTATGTTGTATGCTGTATATCTCACTCCACCTTTTCCTCTCTTGAACCTTTCTCTCTGGCTTGTACTAAGCACTTCTTAGTGCTGTGTTGTATTAATTGGCGAGCGGAACGCGAGCTACCTATGGTCGAACGGCGCAATTTTTTCTATCTATATATATATATCATATATATCTACGACCGTACGCCCGGTAGTGTTACAGTGCTACTCAGCTACCAGTGTTACCAGTGCTCCCATCACTACCAGTGTTAACCAGTGCTCCCTCAGCTACCAGTGTTACCAGTGCTCCCTCAGCTAACATGTTACCCAGTGCTCCCTCTGCTACCAGTGTCCCTCAGCTACCAGTGCTCCGTCAGCTACCATGGTCCCTCTGCTACCAGTGCTCCCTCAGCTACCAGATTACCAGTGCTCCCTCTGACTAGTGTACCAGGCTCCCTCAGCTACCGAGTGTTTACCAGTGCTCCCTCTGCTACCAGTGCTCCCTCAGCTACCAGTGCTCCCTCTGCTACCAGTGCTCCCTCTGCTATCAGTGCTCCCTCAGCTACCAGTGTTACCAGTGCTCCCTCAGCTACCAGAGTTACCAGTGCTCCCTCTGCTACTAGTGTTACCAGTGCTCCCTCAGCTACCAGTGTTACCAGTGCTCCCTCAGCTACCAATGTTACCAGTGCTCCCTCTGCTACCAGTGCTCCCTCAGCTACCAGTGCTCCCTCTGCTACCAGTGCTCCCTCGGCTACTAGTGTTCGCTCAGCTCCCTCTGCTACTAGTGCTCCCTCTGCTACTGGCTGCTACCTATGGGTGCCTCAATTAGGACGACTAGTGGGCTTATGGGCGCTTAAGACTGATTGGATCCACCTTACTTGTATCTACGACCGTACGTCGTGTAAGTGCGCATGCGCGTCTTTGTACGCGCTTCTTTTTATCCGAAATCGCACCCGCTCGCCAACAATGTTGAACATTATTCTAGTAGTCTAGCTAGTTATGAATATTAATAAGTAGTGGTTTTGGCACAGGATGTGGATACTATTGTGACAGCTGATTGTATGAATGTGTGTGTGTGTGTGTGTGCGTCTGCGTCTGTCCGTCCGTCTGTCCACCGTTTTTCTCGGTAACCGCGGCAACTCTGTGCGTGAAACGTGAACATATTATCAAGTAGGAGGCATGCATGGTAAAATAAGATTCTGGAGCGGAGAAAGCCAGGGAAGTTGGTGAAACGGGCGGCTGTCGAGGTGAGTGTGCGTCAATTACAGATCGCGCGAACGATCGCTGTGCTAGACTTTGCGCGTATTTATGGTACAGTTGAGTAGGAGGATTGCTGGTGTAGTGACTGCAGCACACGCCCAGTGAATCCGTTCAGTGAAGGAGTCACTTATGTAGTCAGTGTAGCTAGTAGCTGAATAAAAGTAGCATTGGAAACAGTCTCCTTCACGTCATGCAATTGAATCATGTTATCTTCATAGTGTTGTGTGATTTGTGAAGAAAGAGAACACGCATGTGCAAAATACTGACGTAGTGTAGCTAGTAGCCATTGGCTGCTGAAATAAAGAATAAAGTGGCGAGGGTTATGCACTTTCAAGTGCTTTTCATTGGCTTTAGCTACTGGTTATGTGGCCAGTATGACGTGACAGTAGCTATATAAAAATATTCCTGCCCACTCAATAGTTTACGTAATAATTGCTTATACCCTTGAAAGAGTTAAGGAGGCGTCTGAATGTCCACATCCTTCTTGAGGAGGGATTTCCCATTCCAATTTATTGTGTGGTTGTCCCACCACATCAGTTCCTCCCTTTACCCTGTTGGGGACCTGAGCTTAGTTGCACTGGGAATGTTGATTCAGTGTGGCCATCTGTTATATCATAGTAAGGCTGGTGGGATTACTTGTGAGGTTGCATTCATATTCCCAGCTGAGGAAGGGCTCTTCCTGAGACCTGCTCTTATGGCCCATGACTCAGCACTGATCTTTTTATCTTGTCCACTGGGAGCTTCAACTCCATTTGTGCCACGGCTACTGTAAAGCCCAGGAATCCAATGATTTGGGGTGGTTCTAGCACATTTTTCTGGTTTATCTTGAAACCCAGGAGGTACACTAGAGCTTCTGCATACATTATCTCCTTGCTTGTTCCTGGGACTCCACCAGGACAAATGTATTGTCTATCAGTCATACCCCCCATTAACCGGAGGAGAGCTAGGTGTTGGCATGCAGTGGAGCATGCAGTTGTGGGAGCATGTTAAAGGCTATATAGTAGCCACACAGACTCTGCAGTGACACTCAGTTTGTGAACACTCACTGCAGTGGCTTCACAAAATATGAGTATATACTTGGTGGCTACTACATGTCACCTCTGTACTATGGATAGCATTACACATGTAGCAAAGGTCATGAATGAGACGTTGTGCCAATGCAAGTGGTACAACCAGCTGGTTGGTATAGTAAGCCAGGTGGACAATCCATTCCCAGTCTTTATGATCAGATTTCAAAGTCTTCATTGCACCTGTAGTATATAGCCACCAAGTAGCTACTCATATTTTGTGAAGCCAGTGAGTGTTCACAAACTGAGTTCTACTGCAGAGTCTGTGTGGCTATTAGCCTTTAACATGCTCTCATAACCGCGTACATAGTGTAGCTAGCCCGTGTCAGACTCTCCGTCACCAACTAGCGTGGAGACCGCGAGTAAACACGCCTGAACCCTTACATTACTATTTGCACGTAACTACCCCTTATTGCATTTTTTGTGTTTTATTGCTGTAATATAACCGCTGCAATGAAATGAGAGAGAGAGAGCTGAGTCTGAGCTCTGATGAGAAGCGATGATTTTCAGAAAACTCTCCTGTAGACTTGCCGCTCGTATATACGTCAGGCGCCGTCTTCCCGAGCAATTAGAACTGTGAGTGTAGGGACGACGTTACTCAATACTCATAGCCCAGCCAATATTAGCGGCGCCGCCCCGTAATGCGCCGAGGGTTTGCACTTCAGTTCTTTAAAGTAACAGCTGTGTTTTTTCTGTCAAGCATCTACATTGATGCATAGCTAATTCTGGATACTATCACAAAGAACGTGAAAAGAGTTCCCCGCATTTTAACATGCGCACGTGGCAGTAAGTGCTTTCTGAGTATAAACGTAAGATTTCTTATTACAGAGCTGTATTTGAAAGAGCCATAGTGCAGCAGCAACATTGCTGATAGGTTACGTGGAACTGAGGGCTGGATTATAACTAGCTAAGTGTATAGTTGGTTGAACCTCCTTGTATCGCTATTTCGCTGTCGTGTTGTGCGTGGTGTTAGAAACTCTTGTAAAGACAGAATGACTTCATCAGTTATTACAGTGTTAAAGTACAAATGTAGGAAAATGCATGCATTAGTTTTTTAATGGTTTATTTGGCAGGAAACGTGTGGACGATTCGGATAACTAGACGGTATTTTCCAGGATGATCTGGGTCCGGTGTGGTATAGGCTACACCTGGAGCCCTCCCGTGGCCGAGAACATTGTTATACACATCGAAATTGTAGAAACCAGATCCATCAACTGGTTCTAGCCGTACTGGAGTTGCAGTTTGGAACTGGATGATGAATGGACTCTGGGGACACAAATATGATAGGCCAAATCCATATATCAGGGAGTTAAACACTCCAACTGGTATCCCATCCACCCCTCCATAGCTGCCATGAAGAACCTGTTCTCCTGTGAAGGTGACAAGAAACCCTCCAGCGAAAATGTCCCGACATGTTGTACGAGTGTTTCCAGTTTGAATCCAGTTGTTATAAGCCAGCTGGTAGCGGACTTCTTCCGCAAAACGAGCAGGACTCAGTACTGCATTTTCAAACACATGCACATTGAATTGATTTGGAAGAGATTGGGAGAAGTCGAGACCGTACGTGTCATTGTAGAATTTGAAAGCATCCTGAAGAGTGTTTTCAATCTCATCGTCTCTGAAGTTCATAACATCCTTGAAGAATGTTTGCTCAGGATCTTCAACGAGAAATAAAGGATCATCAACTGTCTGGTCTACCATTGCAGTGAATGTAGCAGCGATTTTGGGACAAAACTCGTAACAAAGTGAGACAGCAAGCTGAGCGCTGAAGACAGCAACAAGCAGGTTGCAGATTTTGACATTCATCATTTTTCACCAACTACTCCAAACAGGGTACCAATTCACAGTAGCTACAGGAGTTGCAGTCTGGCTTATAAACAGCCACAGTGTCATGTGATATGGCCTTTGATATTTGAAACAACTGTTATGAAAAAAACCCACAAAATGTGACTCTGGTGGGGTCCTCAGCTGCTGGAGCCAGGTGGTCACAGTTTGATCTTTCAGAGACCACACTGATGAAACCAACAATGTGGAAACACTATCTACTACACAACTTGGAGTATTTCCCTCAGACATACTATTATTAGGAGGCACTTCACATCAAAAGGATAGCGCAAACAGGTGATAGAGAGGGTTTCTCACATGCAGATGCAGTCACTACCCAAATCAAAGCGGAATCATTGTTAGTCAAACACAACATGGTCGCTAAATTAATGAGTTGTCTAATAAGAGGATTTGATTGCACGTCATGGTCTATTTCATCTTGTGTTTCACAGAACATAGTTCACATGACTCCTTTGCTTTTATACTGCACCACTTGAACGATGCACTTTGGAGGAGCTGGTAGCTACAACCAAGCAATTTCTCAAAGTTTGCGCCAGAAGACGGAAGGAAATTAGAGGAACCAGAAAAGGGGGACTGCATCAACTTGGGCAACCATAGTAAGAGAAACGGGAGCAATGGTTCTGCTTTGACTTGGGTAGAGACTGCATCTGCATGTGACATGTTAACAATGTCCTCACTTGTTTGCGCTATCCTTTTAGTGTGAAGTGCCTCCTATGTCTGAGGGAAATACTCCAAGTTGTGTAGTAGATAGTGCTTCCACATTGTTGGTTTCTTCTTTTTGATCATTGTGGTCTCTGAAAGATCAAACTGTGACCACCTGGCTCCATGCACATAAAGATTGATGGGCCGGGGCTGCCCCAGCGTGTTGACAGAGCCCTCTAACACAGGATAGCGGTATCAGTGGGTGGCGAATATAGAGCAACATACACGCCCCGCAAGAAACCTCATCCCTCAATTGTGCACTGAATGGGCTGGTCGGTTCCTGACGTATGCCACATGTATCTTGAACGCTAGTAGTTAGTATCGCTTATAGGCCGCCTAGTAGCCTGTAGTGCCAGAATAGCAGCAGACAGACACACCAGCCACGCAAACAGACCAACATTTACAGTATACCATTGCTACACATGTGCGCCAAAGCTTAACTGGAGGAACAAGAGGAACTGCACACCTACCAAACTGCAGCTATTGAGGAAGGAAAGCTATAGCTAGCAAACACAAAAGATTGGAACTCGTTTATTGATTTCGCACGGTATAATTCGTAGGTCCCTGTAATCTATACATGAGCACTGTGACGATGTATTGAAATACAGTAAGGGCCAATTGCCCGAAGCCGAAATGCGTGCTGTTGACTGTAGCATTGCATTCCACCCGCATTGAGTTTAAGTGTCATCATTGAGAATAGCAAAATCAATCATAATCCACAATTATCCGGAATAGCTCATTGGCACATACAGCTGGAAAAAATGGGTGAGCTCCAAACTATATAGCAAAACAGCTGACAACATGGGCTACAAAGAGTACTGACTGGTGCTGCACTTCATACATAATGCAAGTTTAAGCTTACCCCTGTAGCTATAATACAGCTGGAGGTCTTCACCCCCGTGATAACAATCCCACCTGTAGCTATATAAGTGTTTGCCAGATAGTCCAATGGTATATAGCTACTTGATCCATTTTATTAGAGCTTTGGTGCAGCACATTTTGTAATGATGTCAGTCTATGTAGGGAAGAGGGGAGATGATAGGTTCATAATGATGTTGGAAACAGAAAAGGAGCTCACCTTACAAATTGGGCACTTTTTGACAGGTTGGGCACACGTGGCACACATGGCAGTGTGTCCACACGGCTGGAAGGAGATATCACATGGCCCCTCACAGAGAAAGCAACTTGGTCCAGTCACAGAGTCCACTTCACTCTCCTCCGTCTTGTTAGAGTCTCCTCCAGACACCGATACCTCAGGGGGTGTGGCCTCACTGCTACTGGGTGTGGTCACACTCTGGGCCAGTCCAATTTTGTCAGCTGCGTTGGATGACTTTGTATCTGCTCTCTTTAAAAGGTTACAACATGGACTTTCACAACAATTACCACACTGCTTTGGCCAATAATACCAACCTGAGTCAGACTGCGATGAGGATATCGGATAGACTCCCTCTATAGTGACCTCTCCTATAGAGCAATTGCTTTCTGTTTACTACGCATACATAAAATTTTCCATGTACACCTCTCTGGTCTGCCAAAGAGCTTCAGTACAGAGTGGTATTCAGGAGGACAGAGACCGATAGCGGTGAGTCCACTTGCTGTCTTTGTCTCCAGACTGGCTCCTTCGCTGACCAGGAAACAGGCCACAGTGATGTAGACAGGGACATCCTGAATACTGTTGTCAGCTCCTGACACATTCTCATGATGGAACTGCAGAAAAAGTGAAGTGGCATCATGTTGTTGTGAGGAAGAGTCCATACCATACCTCATTCAGGTGGGGTGACCTCTCTGAAAGATGTTTCATAATCTTGCTGGACAGAACGACGTGCAGTGGAGATATCCATTCATATCCACTACCTCCAAACCAGCTCCATAACCTATGAGGCACTCTATGCAGCTGATATTGCCCTTCTTCGCTGCTATGTGCAGTGCAGTTTCATCTGTAGTCAAGGCTGGCTGGTCCAGCTTGCTCATACCCTAAAAACAAAGGTTATGGTTGGTGGCAGACCCTTAGGATGACCACCCCTCTTTAAGGGGCCAGCTGTTTCAACCAAAGCAAACATACATGACTCTTAGGGGGAGTGCAATACATAGCCATTTCCTTGGGCAATTATCCCCTACATAAGTACTGTATATGTCTTTACATTGTCCATGTGTGCATGCAATGAGCCAGTACACAAGTTCTCGTCTTTTCCTTTTCTGAGCTTAGTGTAAGCTACAGGCCGTAGAGCTATCACTCAAACCGTCTCTTTGCATTAATATGTCATTGAAAAGCCATTTCGGTCACCCCATTGTGGGTAATGCAGCTATGGTGCTACAATATTCACTCACCCGTATTTCAACTATTATGTCTGTCAGTTCAGTCTAGCATTATTTCTAAAGCCTTTCGAACCTTTGGCTTGGCTTGCCCCAACTGGTTCATTAACAAGTGATGTATGTATATACACATGTGGAAACCAGCAGAGAGGTGACATGAGTCACACGCATATCCCTATGGTTTCACCTAGGATTTTACAGACCCTAAATACACTTGGCAAAAAGTAAAGTTACTTAAGAGATAATTTCACAGCAAGACTAACACACATGATGCAGATCACTGGACTAGTAAGTCTATGTACATCTCAGACTATACAGAAATTCTAAAGTTAAACACTACGAACACTACATATGACATGATGGACACATGTGCAAGTTTTGCTAATGCAACAAAACTACATTTCAGAATGATAAACTGTGCTAGACCTGATATAATGGTGTCGTGAAGGCTGATAAGAAAACAGATACATCCACTGATTCCTGGCAACAATAATTCTTACCACAGAAGCCAGAAGAAAAACTATGTCAATTTTGTCCTTTAAGACAGCAATATGTAGTGAGTTCGCCCCATCCTCAACCCGGTGATGATCGATAAGGGCTGGATTTGCTTGGAGCATAATCTCCACACCACTGTATTCACACAAAGACATATACTGCTGTTTTTAGGTACTTCTATAATTTACCTGTAGAATCCTTCCACAACTGCATCAATGAAGGCGGTATGACCCTTTTGATTTACTACTGACAGATCTGCTCCGGCAAGCACTAGTTGTTTGGTTATGACTGGCCCAACGTTTTCGACAAGCACAGAAGAGTGGTGTATCACCACGAAAATTCTACAGTAAAGAAAATCCCCGTTTGTTGCATGTTTGTACATACTCTATTGATGTCCATACCTGTGCATTAACCTGGCACTTTGGATGATCAATAAGTAGTTTAAGAACTCTGGAATACCCGGCAAGAGCTGCCTCGTGAACTGGAGTATACCCTCTGCTGTTCCCTTCGTTCACGTCACAGCCTTCTTGCAGTAGCAGCAGCTCAACTACTTGATGACGATTGCTGCATGATGCGGCAAAATATGACTGCGTCATTATAAAGTGGGTATAATACTTTACACTTGTTGACAGATGTGAAAGGCTACTTCATTTCAATCGCTTTTAACACCTTTCGGCAAGAATTAAAATGCATCCTCTGAATTTCGAACTACCCAAGTTGGTGATAAACTTAAGGGGTCGGCATCTAGGTGGCACTTGCTCTGCATTCTTTCACTGGCTAATGGGAAAATCAGCGTGATTCGCGTGATCAGTTCCAACCTCCTCTGGCATGCACATTTCAGCACATGTGCTTTACGAGAAGAAAAGTGGTAAACCGTGGTAGTTTGCTCTAGGCTTGCAAATTAACATTTTTGGTAAACAACAAAAATTGCTCGCATATTTGCAGCACACTGCGTAAATATTCGTCTAGTTCCAGGCTTTGCATATGCATACTTCATGCATAACACAAATTTTTTTCATACAAGTACTCTGTAATGAATAGCACTAAAGTGCAAACCATCGGCGAACTGCACATGCATGGTACCACTAATTGATAACATAGCCCAAGCCATGGCTTTTCTTGCTGGTGTATAGCGAAAGTTTCATGCCCGGTAGCTGCATCAATGGTTACGTTATTATAACACTCGCATGCATTTCATGGCTTTGCCTGGCAAATCATGCTCTGCTTTTCTCTTGGCTCGAAACACATGTTGGCAAGATTTACACACTTTCAGCCTCATAGTTTCACACTGTGGGCATACCTTAAGGCATGATAGTAACTGCAAAGAGCAACTAACAGAACTGGAGACCTTCTCACTGAACGAGAAACAAAATGGCCGCTTTCCACCATGTGGTCTAGTATAATGCGCATGCGCGTTCCCGCAGAGTAAATATGGCCGACTAGGCAACTGGCCGTACAATGCTGGGAGCGCTCTAGCTTTGCAACGGAGCATTTTCAGAGAAAACCACACAAACTTTCTGGCTTTCATTGCCCATTAAGTAGGTAGTGAGACGAAAAAACATTCGAGAAGTGAGATGTTGAGTAACAGACAGACAACCCAACTACCGTATCCTCGCTGCGAATGCGCGCCGAGGGTAAATATACTTACACTGAAGCTGCTATTCTCAAAGGTGTGTTTCCTTTCTCATTCTGGGGGAGTCATAAATAGTTATAGCTCATAGTTGACAATGAAAAGCACTGAAGTGCAAACCCTCGGCGCACTGTGACGCGCACAAGTAATTAAACGCATGTGCCGTACCACTAATTGATGGGCTGGGTTTAGTTTTATCTGTTACTCGTGGTCTCTTGCCAGCTCGCGCAGAGTCTGACGCGGGCTAACTACACTACTAGATAGCATGCGAGAGGCGATACACGCCCTGCGTTGCATCTTCTGGTGCCTCCGAGGTATGCAGAGCACGCGGATCGATCATGCCGTAGTAAACCATTGTGTATTTGCATATTGGCTTTTTCGCGCTCTAGATTTGCAACGGAGCGTTTTCAGAGAAAACCGTTCGAAATCTCTGACCTTCATTGCCTGTTCAGTAGGTGGTATCCTCTGTGAGACGAACGAACACTCGAGAAGTGAGATGACGAGTAACAGACAGACAGACACACAGACCCAACTACCGTAACCCTCGCTGTGCATGCTCGCCGAGGGTTAATTACATGCGTCCGTGTATGCAGAAACAAGGCATTGGGTCATGAAATTGCTTTTTTTGCGTACAGGCCTGTACTGTCAGAACGGGCTAGTTCTGAGTTTTTACCTGAAGGGAAGCCTGATAATTCAGCTACCAACTTTTGAGCGGATGAGTCCACATGCGCTGGCTGCTACAGCGCTGGAGCGGCACCCATGTCGATCGGTTCTCTTTGTAAAGCGGAGTAGTAACCGGGACGAATACGGAGAAGTATATATGTGGACAGGCAATACGCTGCTGGCCAATTGATACTGGATATGCGACACCAATGGATAGATTTAGGCTGTATCTAACCTTTCTGCAACGTAGAAAGCATAAAAAACCATCCGTATGCGATTGTCAGCAAACTGAACATCAACTATATACAGCCGCGTGTGCTGGAGCAAGTATACAGAAACATAGCATTTGGGCTTTTGCCCACAGAAAAAATGCCGTTTTTGTGATTTCGCGCAGTCGAATGACCCGCAGAAAAGTTGCTGTAGCTCGTAAACGGAACGGGCAATCGACCTAAAACTTTGTACAGCGTATTAAGAAAGGTCAATTTAGGTGTAGAGTGCAAAAAATCTTTCCCCTGGACCAAATGCCTTGTTTTTGGGTACATGGTTATGTATTTCTCACCCTTTTCCTTATGTCTGCCCCGTGCTCGAGCAGCACTCGAACACAATTGGTCCAGCCCTCAGCTGCTGCAATGTGCAGCAGTGTTCTACCATTGTAGTTGGTATTAACCTACAGTTTCAAACACCTTAAGGCATAATATCACTGGGGAATGCACTCACTTGGTTTGGCCATTTCTGCAGCATATCTGCTAGCATCGTAGCATGTCCTTTTACTACAACATTTTCAAAAGCCTCAGGGATTGGTTCCTCCAGCATTGTGATCCACAGTCTATCAACACTTGGTGATGGCTCCACTTCAGCTTCAGGAATTAATGTACACATAATATTATTAACCCTCAGAGGGCAAGTCTCAACAACTATAGGTAGCAAGGTAGAAAGGCAAGGCAAGGCAAGACAAACAAGTCAAATACACCCAGGACAGCTCTTTCTTTTCAAAGAAAAGAAGAGTTGCCCTGGGTGGAATTTGAACCCACAACACTCCGTAGTTTAAGCGAGCGCTATACCAACTGAGCTACACGCCAAAAAAAGTTCCCACTACGCCGCCGTAGTACGGTGATACCGTAGTAAAATTTTCTATGGTGCTTCTACGGCGAATCTACGGTCGACCGTAGTAAAGTAAAGGTGGCAGCTAAAGGCCTAGCAAGCAACGAGCGTTGTTTATAAAGCTGAGCGTAAGCTAAGAACACTAGCGTTGTAGCGCAGTCGTGTCTAGCATTGCTACCGCTGCTTGCTATCGCTTCTCGCTCTCCTTTGCGCCCGCTGAGCAGCCCATCGATTGCCTTGCCGTCAGCACTGTCGCTGTGTGAACGCCGTGTGGATATCCTGGCCGTACAGCTAGCTAACGCTGCATGGGGCAACGCTGCTTGGTGGAGGACTGTATCTGGGTCTTAGTAAACTACGGCATACTGCACCGTAGCAGGTCTACGGCTTCTACCGTAGTACGACAGTGTAGCAAGACCGTAGTTCTTACTACATATATATGTACAGTGTGACTGTACTACGGTACGGTAGTGGGAACCTTTTTTTTGGCATGTATATACCGGTAGGGCAACTCAGCTGGTAGGGGTTCGAATCTACAACACAACACAAAGGTACACCTCACACCACCGTGCTATGGCACAGTATACTCTCACTCAGTATGCACAGCTAGGGTTACGGTACTTGGTTCTTAATGTGTCTGTCTGTCTGTTACCACATTTTCTGCCACTATGCACAACGAAACAACAAAAGAGCAATACCAAAAGGTTCAGCGCTACACAGGCTTGATTAAAAATTTGCAGAATTTCGTAATAGTGCTGCATTCGAGAGATAATTATGCATGAAAACCAAGTGATGCAAATTAGCACAGGATCACCTTGACCAGATCCACTTGCTCTGCTTACCTTGGCTCCAGAAGTTGCAACGCAGGGCCTCCCACATGCTATCTAGTAGTATAGCTACGGGTGATAGACTCTCAAGGACATGGCAAATCTACCCAAGAGAGAGTACTATAATAGCCTCGCACAGCCGTTGCGTATACTCAAGTCATGCATGCTCATTTGAAGGGTTTCGATTTTACTGCTTTTAATATTTTACAGTACCGTCGGCAAAGGCTTACGGACATTTACGAACCTGCTATCATAATTTCCGAGGTGTAGCTGAGGAATGTATGATGACAGTCGAGGATATTTCCCTTGATACACCAGCGACACGCAGTACTCTACAATATTTCCATAACTAAGCATGTACAAGCTCAGATGCATTGATGTCACAGTTGCTAGGGCATTCCCAATGTGTCGTCGTCTGGAAAAAAATTATAGGTGTCATTCCCATGCCATATTGAGCGGGTTAGCTGGGTGACAGACTAAGAAGTGCTGAATTGAAAGGTGATTGGCAAGTATGGACGAAAGCTGTCACACAGACAAATATAATACTGTATGATGCGGTTAACCCAGATAACCTTACTCAGTTCATCCTCAGGGTGTTCTCCGGGAGCAGGCACAACACAAGAGCTATCCATGAGCCACTGTCTCCCATTCACTCTCAGAACTAGAGAGCCAGATTGGCTAATCAGGTGCACTCGGCCAAGCTGTCCCACCGACTAAAACAATGGAAAATAGCTATATATATACACACTACTCCTAAAAATATGTTCTTGAGCAACCGGGATCACAACCACTGGTTTTTTTACTGACTCATGAGACAAATGTACGAATGGATGGATCACCAATGCTAGTTTGTGGAATGGTCGCAACTATATATGTATGTATGTTCATTTCCTTTTCTTTAGTCTGTCCTCTGATCCCCCAACTTAACTTCAACTTTTCGAATTGTCCTAAACATTATTAATGAAAAGCACTAAAGTGCAAACCCCCGACGAAGTAGCTCGCAGAGAGTCTGACACGGGCTAGCTACAGTAGTAGATAGCACGCGAGAGTCGATACACGCCATTCGTTGTGGCCTTCAAGATAGACAGAGCAAGCAGACCCGGTCGAGGTATATAAGCCTGTGCTAAATATAAGCGCATGCGCATTATCCGCCAGCAATAAAATGGCGACTACGGCATTAGCCATACAATGCTGGAAGCGCTCTAGCTCTGCAACGGAGCATTTTCAGAGAAAACCCCACATATTTTCTGACCTTCGTCGCCCGTTGGGTAGATGGCATCGTTTCTGGGACGAACAGACATTCGAGAGGTGAGATGTAGAGTAACAGACACACAGACCCAACTACAGTACCCTCGCTGCGCATGTGCGCCGAGGGTAATGACTTACCAGAGCCATATCGTCCTCCCATCTTTGAGCAGCCTTTTGTAGTCTGTGGACCTCTGCCATGTCATCAATCACCCATACCACATCATCAGGAAGAATACCTGGCCCCTCCACCTGCGAACCCATCTCCTGGTGTTTGGGGATCACAGGCAGAAACACTCTCTCTCACCTTTTCTATGGCATCCATAACTAGTGAATATCCATTAGCATTGAAGGGGTAGTAGATGCCTACATAAGTCATTCTGACATTTACACTAGCAACTATACCAACTTTCCCCAAGACCTGTTCGAACATCGTGAGATAAAGTTTCATCATTATTGTAAATTTTACTCACGTTAACAATACTCTCTTTCCATAGGTGTTTTAAATGAGACTTGAGACGATCAACATCCATTGTTATCTTACATTTATCCCCAGCAGAAATAAATGGCTCCAGAGGAGACTTGTACTCTGAGCCTGAACATTAAAAGTTTATTATAATATGTATAAACTTGACTAGAAGCAACTTTACGTCTTTCCCCCATCTTAATAGGTGAGCGAAGCAAGATATCTGAATTGAACCGAATTATATGTACGTTTTTATGTACATATGCATGGCATATCTATCTACCTATGACGTATCTATCTACCTATGGCTGGTATGCTATGAACTATAATTTCATGAATAACATTGTATTGTGTCCAACATTGTCACCCTTAGTGTCCTACACCAACACTATTACAATCACAGATTGGCATTTCATGCGGAGTATGTTACTGCATGTAATCCACCCACGACTGTCACGTTCGCTCGCCAAAAACTGTGTGCATTTCGTACCTAGCAGTGGTAGGTGGTCCAGATAGCAGTGTCCTCCTTCAGCTGAAACTGTACACTGCAGATCCACCTAATGTCCACACATCACCACATTCACAACACTCTCTACACATCTCGTCTTCCCACCTTGCCCTTGTGTCCGAGTCGGTACTTTCTCTTCAGAGCTGATTCTCTCCACACCACAACGGCCACACTTCTCTGTGTCATACACACAACACCACAGCCTGTCCACTCCACCACTCCACACATGTTCCACTCACTGAGCTCTGACTCTGCCATCCACACACATCCACCACAGTCCCATCTCTCCCCGCACCTCCATCTTGATCATTCCACCTCCAGTCTCGTCCACGCACCACTCTGGCTCCCACAAACACCCCCCTGGCCCAAACACGCCTCGACAGGTACCGACACCGCACTCTCGTCCTGTAACAACTGCTACTCACGTCTCCACCAACACACAGGTGTCTCTATCTCACCTCTGTCTGGGGTTCTCTGGGAGAGTCCATCCTCGTGAAATGATGCCACACACTGTGCCTGTCCTTCATGTAGCACGGAGTGCACAGATGGTAGCGCAGACAGTGGACACACCTCCACACAAAGCCTGCAATAGTCCGACTCCCACACCCACTGCACTCCAGGTGACTGTGAACTACACCTGCTCCACACACAAACGAGACCTGTCTCTTTCCGGTACTCCTAGCTATATCCCTTACCCGCTGGCGCGCTGTCTATCACTCGCAGGTCGTACTTTCCACCAGCACCACAGCGGTACACGTGTCTCTCTCCTCCCACGTCCCACTGAACAGTGGCTACATCATGTCTGCCGTCCTCTGCGCCGTCAGCCCTCCCTCCCGAAACAACAGTCCCCACGTATCCCTCGCAACCATCCTCGTTCCCACTCTCCCAGTCGGGACCACGGACCACTCGCAGACATGTCTTAACCTCCATCCTATTAGATTCTATTGCCGCCGAGCGCGTTAGCGTGAGGCAAAACTACTCCGGGTTATAATTATCATTACAAAGCAAAAAAAACAAAAACAAAAACAAAACAAGAAAACCATACACAATGCACATGAAATACACACATACACAAACAAACACACAAACATAGGAGTTAGATGCTCCCATCCACCCAGGCTGAGTGAAGGGGTAGGCGGCTAGACCACAGGGTGGCATTCCCTTTCCAGAGGATGATAGAAAGGCGCTGGAACAGATGTTTGATAGCAGTGGCAGGAAGAGTACCAAGCCTTTGACCGGCCAGCCGGCCAATCCTGGCTATCTGAGCGATGGAGTCCGGGCTCCAGCCTCCAAGGGTCTCAACGACGATGGGAAGGAACGTAACCCCGATTCCACGGCAGTCTGCATTGTGGGCGGCCATCTTCCTTGCTTCGGCAATCTTCAATGCAAAACCGGGCTCGGTAGCAGCCCCTGCCTGAGTGAGTGGTTGCATGGTAGAAATTACTGTGACGTCCAGGGCGGCAGGGCGTCCCCCACACCAGTTTGGGAGGAAAATATCAGCTGGACGAGAAACTGAACCCGGAATGAGAGAGGGGACCTCTTTCCGTGGAGCTAGAGCTGCAGACTGGGATGCAGCGAAGAGGGCATCGCGAAGGGCATCATGCCGGTGAATGCTGTCACCGTTGCCACCACAGCCCACCTGATGGTCCCCCATAGGGTCAGCCGCTGAGGTTTTTCCACATGCAGGGCAGGGCCTGGGACCCTCAGACATCCTCACGCCAAGCCAATAGTCAAGGCATAGGCGAAACTCTTGATCGAACAAGCTCAGACCCAGGGCTGGAGAAGGGACCACATTTAGCCAATCCTTCTCGCGATATGCGTACGTGTATAAACGTACGTCGTCAATTAGTCACGCTTAGGAATGTAAATTAGTCACCAAAGGAAGTGTAACTTCTTTCATTCGTAGGAAGTCTAGCTTCCCGCGCGCGCAGTCGTAGAGCGCGCACACGACGAGCGGCCTCAATCGTACTTTTGTATAAGCATTGGCCGGCTGGCAGGCAGGCTAGGCGAGAGGCAAAATATGCGCGTGCGCATTCCTAGTGTATATAGTCATCACGCCCACCGCGTATATGACAAGCCGTAATTCGACCGTAAACATACGTCAACCTCACGTTAGAGTGAGCTCGAATTGACCAATCAGATTGGTTTACTATTGCCCGTCGAATAAACCTACAGAAACTACAAAACCTACAGATAAAACAGGAAAACATAACAAAATGTACATGTAGAAAAAAACCACTGTGATGCCATGTAAATGAAAAGCACTAAGATTCGGCCAAATTGCGTGGGAGGCACTGTCGCAAATCGCTGAATTGCGCTGCTAGACGGGTCCCTGGCTGGGCTAGCGCATGGTCTTCCGACGCCCATTTCCTCGGCATTTGCGCAGCAAAACTAGAGTAAAGAAGCTTTGTATTTCGCGATTTTCACGCCCCTTTTTGGCTCTGGGCATGCGCAGTAACGCCACAGCTTGAGTCTCTGACAGGAAATTGTTATTGTCTAAACTTAGGGGGTGCGGTCTGAATGACACGTGACGGTGGTGTGAAAGCGAACGTTGTTTTTCCCCGCAGAGAGCAAGAGAATGGATTCCTCAAGGTCTTTTGGTGAGTATATATGCAGTTTTACCTGCGTAGACACCGCGCACATATGCTGCCAGGCTGTTCGAAAAATGAAATAATTTACTACATGGCAATGGTGACGTAATGATTAAAAAAACCAAAAACGCAGAAACCAAAAAAACACGAAGAACACAAAAAAAATAATGCAACAACAAAAAAAACCAAAAAAAACAAACAACAAAAATATCTAAATGATCCCATCAGTCCACGCTGAGTGAGACGGAAGGCGGGAGCCCACATAGTAGCATTTTCTCTCCACAAACAGATGGACAAGCGCTGGAATAAATGTGAAATTGCTTCCGTGGGGGAGGTACAAAGCCTCTGACCCACTAGTCTGCCGATTCTGGGGATTTGTAGGGCTGCGTCATGGCTCCAACCTCCCAACGATTCCACAGCAAGGGGAACAAACGACACTCCTGCGCCTCTGCATTCGGCATTGTGAGCTACCATCTTTCTTTCCTCTGCCACTTTCAGAGCATACCCCTTCTCGGAAGCAGCTCCTGATAGTGTGAGCGGTTGCATAGTGGAGATAACCGTAACGTCCAAGGCAGCAGGGCGCCCCCTGCACCAGTTGGGGAGAAGTACGTCGGCCGGACGGGATCTGGTGCCTGGGATCAGGGTAGGGACCTCTTTTCGAGGGGCCAGTGCTGCGGATTGGGCGGCTGAAAAAAGGGCGTCCCGGATAGCGTCATGTCAGTGGATTCTGTCCCCATTGCCTCCACAACCCACTTGATGATCACCAAATGGGTCAGCAGCTGCGGATTTGCCACATGCAGAACAAGAGCTGACATTGTCTGCAATTCTGACGCCCAACCAATATTTGAGACACAGCCGGAACTCTTAGTCTAAAAGACAAAGTCCAAGAGCTGGGGATGGAGTGACATTTAGCCAGTCCCCCGCATGAGGCAGAGAGGAGGAGAGGGCGAGGGCTCTGGACCGAACATCAGGGGCAGACTCGACTAAGGTGTTAAAACAGGCCTCATCAATTAGACGGGAAAGTGATTTCTGCTGAAGAGGTACATCAATGTCTTCCAAAGAGCACCAGGTTGTCATCCTAGCAGACTTGGCCAGGGAAGAGATGGCAGAGGGCAGAGCCAGTGGAAGGTTGGGCGTGTAACCAAGAATTTGGGAGACGAGGTCTAGGGAATTCGCGATGGAGCTGACGTAAGCAGCAGGGGCATGGAGAGCGGTAGACCAAAGGTTCAGCCCCCCAAGTGAGCAGGGAAGGTTGGCCTTCAACCAGGCCCAGTCTGGCAGAGGGCCTCCTGTGAAATCCTCTATGGCTTCCCGCACTGCAGCATCAAGTACAGATGTAGCCCTCTGGATGACCGAGTGCGGAGGGCGAAATTGAGTTTTGGGAGAGAAAGACAGGATCTCAGAAGAGTGGTCTGCAATTGGGAGTCTTCAAGGTCCCCCAATCTTCCAAGAGCATTCTGGATCTTCCCAACCCTGTCAAGTACTGAGGTTTCACGGAAACAACGTGAACCAAGGGGGACTCCAAGGAGACAGAAGTCGGAGCTGGTGACAGGGATGTCGTGAGAGAGGGGGTTATTGCCTAGATCATCCCCCGGGGGAATGTAAAGGAGAGACTTCTGACGATTTAGATGAAGACCCCTGGGGGGGCCTTCTTCCTCGATCTTTAGAGCTGCGTCAAGGTCCTGTGGAGTGCGACACAGAGTGCCGTCATCCAGGTACCAGACGTTGCAAAGAAGACTGGGTACCTCCCTCTTGATTCTCTCGACGATCGGTTGAAGAGTGAGAGCGAAACACAGAGGGCCTAGGGGGTCTCCTTGCTGAACCCCACAGCAACTAAGTAGAGAGTGGTCGCCAAAAAATAAGTGCGATTTTGTGCTGTAGCAGAATTCCACCCAGCTTGACAGACCCGGTAACCGTGCACGAGTTTCACGGAACGCAGTTTACGTGTATGTATGCTGCTGGGTTTTGTCCCACGTTGACTAGCGCTCGCTGCAAGCTGTACGATGTGTTCCTTTTGCAGCCCTGTGTTCATTGCTTTATGACCCTAAGCATTCTCGCGCTGATCCAGAGTCGTTTGGGCGTTTGCCCTGTGGAAGGCACTTTGTAGGCCTTATGTGTCCCCTGTGTTTTAGTAATAATGACCTCTAAGCAGACAGGAGTCATATGTGATTTTTCCTGGAATAGGCCAAACATTCCCCATGCCCCACCTACTAAGAAGTGTCAAGCTGGCTACTGCCGTTTGGGGACCTCTGTTTGAAACAGGTGTAGATAAAAAACTATATAATTTATCTAGATTAGAAACTGCAACTTATTTTCTCGCCAACACTGCATATTCTTGCTTTTACAAGTTTCCCAGACACAGAAACTCACAGGTCCGATTTAGCTGCAAGTATAAATTATACGTATCTTGCACACATAGTCATAGTTATCTTTCCCATCTTATAATACGTTTGTAGATTATTTTACCTTTCTGCTATTCTGTAATTTTATCCCCCCATCCCCTCCCCCTCCTCCTCCTCTCACAAATATCCACACTCCTTTAGTAGACATGTCTTTTCCCTCACATGCTTGATAAAAATACGAAATGTACGAAACTGTCACTAGGGTATTCAGGATGGTTAGCAAGCCCCTCACTGCCTTGATGTATAAGGTACAGGTTTCCAAGGTATTTACCTAGCCTAAATTATATGTGTATATATATATAGCATTTACACACATAGTGAAAATCATACCTGGTGTGTTTACCCCCACATGTTAGCCCCTAGTAATCTTTTACACAAATTGTCAGATCTTGTGTTAGGTGTCCCCTAATTATGAAATGTGTCAAAGGTATAAACCCCTAAAACTTGGCCTGCCCTTTACCTAACATGTTCGCCCAGGATGCTTATTACCCTCGGCGCGCATGCGCAGCGAAGGTACAGTAGTTGGGTCTGTCTGTTTGTCCGTTACTCTATATCTCACTCCTTGAACGTCTGTTCGTCCCAGAAACGATACCATCTACCCAACGGGCGACGAAGGTAAGAAAATTGTGCGGTTTTCTCTGAAAATGCTCCGTTGCAAAGCTAGAGCACGAAAAAGCCAATATGAAAATACGCAACGGACGGGATGGCTTACCGCGGTCTGATCGATCCGCGTGCTCTGCGACCTCGGAGGCACCAGAAGATGCAACGCAGGGCGTGTATCGCCTCTCGCATGCTGTCTAGTAGTGTAGTTAGGCCGCGTCAGACTCTGCACGAGATGGCTAGAGACCAGGAGTAACAGCCAGAACTAAACCCAGCCCATCAATTAGTGATACAGCGCATGCGTTTACTCACGCGTACGCGTCACAATGCGCCGAGGG